CAAATAAGTTTATGTGATCCAATTTTTGTGTCTTTTTTAGGAGGAGCAATAGTAAAAAAGGAATTAAGGTTTGTACCTAAATTAAGATTATTATTATTATTTATATATAAATAATCTTGCTCTAACTTTGTAATAGTAGTTTGAATTATAGGGTATATATCAGAAAAATGAAGAAATTTTGTTTGAAATTTTTTGCATAACTTCATAAGTTCAGTAAGAATATCTTGAAGAAAAAAAAGAAAAGCTAATGTTTGCCAATTGCAAAGTTCAGAGTATAAATCAAAAATTGAATGTTGAGTAATTTGATTTTTTGATTCAGTCATAACATAAAGAAGTGTATCTAATAAAGGTTCTATTGAGCAGCAAAAATTATTTACTGCTTCATATAGAGAAAGCCACCGAATATCAAATATTTTTGGAATTTTTAAAATAGGCTTATTAAGAATTTCTTGATGCTTAACTAATAATTGAACCCGTTTGTTAGAATGATTAAAAAAAGCATATACTTTCTTTAATAAAGATTTAGAATATTGGCATAATTCTACTTGCTTTTCAGCAAACTCACAAGCTAATGATAATCTATGTGCTATACAGTGTGTAGTAAAGATATATGGGTTTATTTGAGCCATTCGTGCTGCAACTCCATTAATTTTTCCTTGCATTACACTTGCTCCATCTGAAGTAAATGAAAAAATTTTATGCTGTATTTCTGTTTAAAATAATTAAAAAATTAATATAATGATAAATAAATAAATAAAAAAAATTATAAACTTACTTTTAGAAACAAATGGTTGAATTATAGCATTATAAATTGACTTTGCATCATAATTTTCAATTTGTAATAGACTTAAAAATCGAATTTTAATAGTACCATTAAAGATATATCTAACATAAACTATAATGTGTGATTCTGTAGCAATATCAGTACTTTCATCGACGATAATACCTATAGCCGTAGCAAGACATAATTCATTCCAAAGTTTATTTTCAATTGAAAGAGCTATAGAAGAT